TCATCATCATCATCATCATCATCAACAGCCTATAAATGCCCACTGCTGAGCAAAGCCTCTTCTCACACGGAGAAGGTTAGAGCGTTAATCACCACGCTTGCTCAATGCGGGTTGGCGATTTCAAACTTATAATTAGAAATTATAAGTCCAGGTTTCCTCACGATGTTTTTCCTTCACCGTTTGTCAGTAGTGTCTAAATAATCTTAGAAAGTACATAGAACTCGGAAAAAGTCCCATTGGTACTTGCCGTTGGTAGGTTTCGAACCCGCACCCTCATGCATGAGAAGTGGGCGTCTTAAACCTCCGGGCCACCACGACGTAATGTTGAATAAACAGCCTTAAACAGGTATATATCTTGTAATGTGCAACGAATTAAAGCGACATGGGTGTTTATGTACGCGTACTGTTGCGAAAATTCGTCATAGTAAATTAGAAAGCGTGCATAATAATCTGGCCAGCGGTGACGGACCAGTGTACTGTATTGATACCAGCAGCGGCACACACTGGCCTGTGAGCACATCACTGCTTCATTACAACACAACAATTAACAAACACTTCGTATGGGAAAACTATAACTACTTCTATCTACGTACAGATAAGTCTTTAAATAGTGTAAAACTAGCATAAATACTGTAATTATAATTATTTTTTTAACGACTGCCCACTCCAACACCGACCGCAGGTATAATCCAAATGAAACAAAACAAATAACTCACCGTACGGTGTCCTTTACGTGCACGGAGTTTTTACAATTATTTTGAATCGATTTTAATAATTTTTGTTACGAAGACGTCTCACAATAATATAATGGTAAAGTTTTTATTAATATAAGTTTTATGCACGGTACATTGGTATATAAAATACCATGCGGAGCGTAACGTTGCACTGTAGCGAGACTCGGAGACAGACTGAGTGAATGAGGGCCGGTCGCTATCCTCTTTTATGTTAGTATTGTAAACTGGTATGCGTTAGCTCACCAGCCGATGTCAACGAGAGTTAAAATTAAAAGAATACTTTTTAATAAATCGCCCACACAATACACTTCGATCAAAAGTATGCTAAATTAGATTAATGTTTGATGAATTATCGTTGTGCGTTCCCGTTAACTGTATTGGTCAAGTAACTGTAAGATTAAGTGTCCATACAACTGAGCCGGCTTTAAGGGCAACAGGAATTTTAATCAAATGATGAAAAAGGGCATAAGCAGTTGTAAGGAGTCACGAAAAATAAATTAATAACTGATACAGGTATGCAGGTAGTAAACAAAGACAGCAGTAGTTGGAGATAATATTTTTCTTCAATAAAACTTTAAATTGCCGCTGGTAAGTACCTCTATGAAAACGAAACAAAAACTAGCACTTACACATTGTACACAATATAAAATACTGTTATAACCCATCAGCGTTCCAATTTAAGCCTGATTAGATTAGATAAAGTGTATTACACTTATTGATATTAGTACCAATTTATTAAAACGATGGTTGCTGCATACATTTGATATTCAAAATTAACTATGCACATCCATAATTACTATTATTAACGAAAGAAGGAACCTATAGAAAAGTAGATGTTCAAAGACGGGCGAGACGGTCGTGGTCCAAGTCACGGTCAACCTCTTTTTCATACAAATATATCCAATATTATACCTATTGGCTCGACACTGTGCTATTAACCCAGTCGAGTTTAGTGCGATACCTACTTTTGTATGGTCATCCCCGCCTCCTTGACATGAACCGATCGGACAACAATAGAATGATGAACGAAATATTGAATTGATGGGACTTTCTACTCCGGTATCTATTGCTTTATCTTCCGCACAGAATCTTCGCTCTCCTTTTCTAAAATCTTTTGCTAGACAATACTAATACGGTTTACTATCGGAGTCCTGGATTTTTTTATTTTTTATTTAATTGAATTTTTGTAGCAATCTACTTAGTCTACTTAGTGTATTTTATTTTATAGTTAAAGTACCCTCACCCGCCAATGATTAGTCACTACTATGTAGGTTTAGACATTGTTATGCCATATAAAGATACGGGTCACATAATTGAAGAACCATCACGGGTATTTTTTCTTTTCACATGTGGAAACCTGAATATACCTATAGTTATCTAGTTACCTATAGGTAGGTACTTTAAACCCACACGCATTACTTGTCAATCTAGTAACATGCTAACAATATGGTATTTGAAATTACAATAATAGAACTGCAATCCTGTACCTTTGTGGAAATAGCAAGTGATGGTTGTAGCAACTTATCGTTATTTGTCATGAATCCAATTGAATATTCAGTTGGTCACAAAAAAATATCATTAGGCTGTATTGTAGGTCTAACTAGTGGTTGCAAGTATCGTTCAAAACACGCGGTGACCGTCTTAATTTTGATATCCTATTCTAGCAATATATTATTAGGTAGGTACGTACCTACCTATTTCTGTTTCTGAAACTATTATCAGGTCTCTTCATTACTGAAGGTTGCGTTGGCACAGCGCGTCTTTTCGTGTACGTCCCTCCTCCAAGCACGTCTCCGCGCTCTTTATAACCTGTGGAACTGATAAATCGGTGACATTCTCGACAACATCCAGTTACAATAGATAGGTGAACGATTGCAAAGTCTTTTGCTTTGGACCTGCACCAACATCCACCAGCTTTTCCAGATTGTCGGGGTTTCTGCGCGCAACAGCCAACCTAATAATACACCTACTGCATGAAATAATGGGCAATCAGGTTTTATTCATTTCTACCCTGGTTTTACACCTAAGTAGGTAATTGCCCTAAATTATCATTAGGTGCATACTCAGCTGAGCAAACGTTACGCAAAAGTTGTAGTGACAAGTGTCAGTTTCACAAATTAACTAATTAATCATCATAATCAGGTCATTGAAACTACTCAACTTGTTACAGAGGTTTCAATCACGGGATATTTTTAAACGACTTCAAAAAATGGTTTCCAGTTTGATTTACATGTACCTATATATGTTTGTGCGCGATTATCTCCCGTTTGGCTGAACCGATATTGATGCGATTCTCAGAAAAGTGTTAGTTGCAATTTGGAGGTTTTAGTATTAATAAATCGACCTCAAAAAAGACGGGTTTGAAGTCGGTTTTTTTAAACTTAATTCTTTTATAAAATATTATTATGGCAACCTATATTCACGCAACACCAGAGGAGTTACCAGTGCATTGCCTACCTGTTAGTGATTTAAACTGTCAAACACCGCGAGGACACCGGTGACCGCACCCTATTGTTCTTTAATTGTGTCTATAATGACGGTACTCAACGAGTTAAGTATTGGGCATGGGAGTAGAAACATTGAACCGTCGGTAACCTCAAGCATACAGCGAAATACAATGCAAGCGTTTTTTCACGCCGGTTCTTGTGTTGAATTTTTATGAGTGTAATTAATTTAATTGTCATAAAACATAGTACATGGAAATATATAATCATAGTAATACATATTTTGTAATTTTACCTATGTATTTGTATATTGAAATCTAGGAAAATTGTTTGCGAAAACCAACTGGGTACCTAATTACTACCTGTCATCACTTGCGTATTTTCGTTCTAATTTACCTATTTTAAATTAGTAGGGAAATTACCGAAACAAAGTAGTGCAGGTATTTCCTAATTGAGCAGGATAACAGAGTACCAACATGTACTTCTGAATTTAGGTATATACGTATATACCTACCTACAGTTAACCCTATTATTTGGTATGCAGGGAAGAAAATAAAGGTTTACTCAGTACAGAGATAGAGTAGCTATTGTTACACTAAAATATATGGTTTCTAACGAAGCGTCAAGCCATATCTATTGCAATTCTTAGTCGGATTAATAGCCAAGCAATGGTAACTGTCACTGTATTGAATCTATCTATGTTTTCTTACCTACATATCAAATAATTAGGCTGATTGTACATGTCGCGTCGCGTTCTATAGGTAAGTACCGAGGTATGGTATTAACTGAAATCATGGCAACCCCTAACCCTTATGGCGTAGAACCACCGTAACAGACTAGACACACGAACTCTACGGTCCTGTAAAATATCCTGTAACAAGCAGCCTAATTATTATAATTAATTATTAAAAAATAAAAAAATAAAATAAAAAAATTAGGTATGTCACTTCCTGTAAAGTAGGCTTTTCAACAGTGAACGTTTCTTTTTAATCAAGCCTGTAGTTTCGAAACCTATTAAGACTTTGACTGCCAATAAAAAATAGTTGAAGGTAAATCGTCGGCTGACGTCGCGTCGGCCACCGGTGACCACCATGGCGTTTAACGTGTTAATGCAAACCAACAATCAAATCATTTCTCTAATAAAATTTTAAACTAATTCATACAGATAAGTGTGTTTTCATTGAATTCAGAGTAATGATCGAGTTAAGAATTCCCCCAAGTTCATATAATAACTATCAGAGCTGTAGTTTTTCCTTATCAAATACTTCCTATGTTTGACCTCTTTTATCTGATTAAGTGGGTTTTTACAACTCATAAACAAGTACCTAGTATCTAGTCTATAAAAAGTACTTTTGTATATACATGGTTAGTAGGTACCTATCTTCATACATTTGTAGTAATCTTAGTCAGTGTTAGTAAAACATGAATGAATAGGTCTTACGACCTAACACAGATGTATTCTGGCAATATGTCGCGGAGAACCTAACGGGTAACCGGGGCTCCGACTCGACGTGCAGGAGAAGGAACGGGGTGGTTTTTAGTCAGTAAGAGTCTGACACTCCCTCCCGCCTCACCCAGGCGGGAGCAGTCATTCGATGATTTTCCTCCCTTAAAAAAATAAAAATAAAATTCTGGTAGATATATTTACCTATGCAGGCAAGGACATTAAAAAACTCAACGCCTTACGTTGAAAAAGAGAAAATTGTAACATAAGGATGTTACAATATTCTTTTATTACGTCTACGTCTGCCTACCCCTTTGGAGATGTCTAACGGGTTACCGGGGCTCCGGCTCGACGTGCAGGAGAAGGAACGGTGTGGTTTTTAGTCAGTAAGAGTCTGACACTCCGTCCCGGCTCACCCATGCGGGAGCAGTCATTTAATGATCCCACCTTAAAAAACCCCTTTGGAGACTAAAAATGTAATGTCATGCCTAATTTATGTGTTTACTCCCAATAGGTACAGTAATGCCTAAGACTATTTTAAATCGGTCCAGCAGCTTCATTCGATACTAATACGCAAATAAACAAACTATCTATCTTGTTTTACGAAAATAGGTACAAATATAGCAGATAATCAACTATAGTTACAGTCATTCGCCAAATTGTTTTCTTAAGTTTACTGAGGAATTGTTTATTGTTTACTGAGAAAACATCTCTATTCTGAGAAGCATTGTATTACATCATTTCATAATTATGAAGTTTAACATTTGAGTATCCGATCATAATAAGGAAACTGCAAATCCAATAAAATTGATAAGAAATATATGTTTTGGACAATATCGATATTGCAGCTACATACTAATAATAGGATAGATGACTAATTTTGATTTCAATGTCCGTCTGGGAGATTATTTTAAAACATTACACACGTATTTTTTATTTTTTTTACAGAAACGAATATTTTCCACGCTGTATTGATTTGAAATGTCGTGTGACGTCACTTCTATGTACATCGTTTCAGCCCCACTCCTAAACTTTGATTCGTTATATCTAAGTTTAATTTTATTCTACAACAAAATAAAATACGTGTCTTATTTTTTCACTACCTAAGTAACGGACTAAATTAGATTTTTCATGTCATCCCCTATTATTGTGCAACAGTTTATGTCAAAATATCACCCATACATTTGGTACAATAGGGTCGACTAAAGTATACCACTATGTATTCTTGCTTTAAAAAGATAGGTGTCAAATAAAACAAAAAAATAAAATAAGAAAAAATAATTATTTATTATGCAAAACAAA